CTTACATTGATTCATTTCAAAGACAATTTTTTTAATTTTCTTATATGTCTTTCTTTAGTAGGCGTTATTGGGAAGTGATATCAAGAAAGTGATAACGGGCAGTCTAAACATGTGTAAGGTACTGAATTTGAATTGTCTAGACTCTGTGTTCAATGTGCTGGTAGGCACGAAGGATTTGACAGTGTGGATTTAGATAGGATTGTTTGGACTAACCATACGACGCTCAGGTAGATTGAGCAGTGAGATAAACACGGGAACCCACGGGATACACTAAATTAATACGCATCTAGAACAGTGGTTCAACTTTTCCTTGATGTACGGACTTATGTCCTTAATTATGGTTCTAATAAGGGCAATTGGGGGGTTCTGATAAAGTAGGTATGTAGGAAATTATTTTTTTGCTTTCTATCTGTCAGTCATATGTTGCTTCCTCTGCGTGATTGGAAGAGATCCGACCTGGAATGCAACATATGCAACTCTGATTCTATGCACCTCTTTATCTATGCAATTCTTTCTATCTGTTAGTCATATGTTGTCTCATCTGCGTGATTGAAATGATCCGACCTGGAACACAGCATATGCAATATTCTACCTCTCAATCCCTCTATCCTAATTAGCCATATGTTGTCCCCTCTGCGTGATTGAAAGAGATCCGACCTGGGACACAACATATGCACCTATTTCTAAATCTGATTTCCTCCTTAATAATTGTCTATTCTCCTAAAGTAAGGAGTTCTTTGGAAGTTCTTGATAATCAGGGTATATCGGGAAGTGGGGAACACGTTCTAGTGCAACTAAAATTGAACCATTTAGAGGTTGTCTGTAGATCTCGCTGCTTAATTTAAGTGGACAAAAAATACTCGTGGTCGTCGTCAGCTAAATGGTTTATTTAGAAAAGTTTGTAAATATTCTTCGTGTTTAAGTGGACCACAATACCGGCAATTGACCAGATCTATTCATGAAGGTGAAGGTACTGATAAACAAAGTTAAGATTGTCTCACAACTTTGATCCCAAATATTTTTGTTTTTGTTAAATTTGTTCATAGTTTTCCTCTATGCACAAATTTAGGGGGAGAATTAAAAATCAAACAAAAATCAGAAAATTCAAAAATCAAACAAAAATCAGAAAATTAAAAATCCAAAAATAGTGTTATTTCTGTTTTATTTCTTGTTCAGAAAAAAATCAAAAATCCAAAATATTTTTGTTCTGTTTTAATTTCAGAAAATAAGAAAAATACAAAAATATTGTGTGCTAAGTTTTCTTTTAGTTTTGTTTTGTCTTGAAAAGTGAATTCAGATGTAGATGAGACTCATAGCGACTGTATCGAGATTTTCTTAGCCAGGGCTTCATCCATGATCATCGAAGAATTCTCATTCGAAGGAGCAAGAAATGAAGACTATTCTTTCAACTTTCAATCTTTCAACCCCAGAAGCAAGTGTGAAGCTGACTTGAAGATTATGTGACAAGTTGCATTGAAGCCTCCTCAATCAATTTGCTGCTATCTTGTACCTGCTGAAGTGATCCAGAAGATTAGTTCTCTCTGATATTCTCTCTAAAGATTCTCAAGCTGAAAGCGCTATCTTTCAAGAATCAGTACATCAAGCCTCCTCACCCAATGTGCGTTCAGAGTCAAATTTTGAAGAAAAGCCCAACTGCTCAAGATGAAGTCATTCATTGAAGATCAAGTTCATCTTGAAGTTGTGAAGAATTTGAAGATTAATGCTGAAGCCAAGCTCCCAATGAAGATTAACAAGAAAAGCCAGCTACCTTTTTAGGGGGAGTTTGTTGGGTCAGTTAGAAAAGAAAGCTATAAACCAAGGGGGAGATTGTTTGGTCAAAAATATGGTTTATACTTTACTTTTCTAGGCGTTAATAGTTTTTGGTCATGTAATATGTTTTGTGGTTGTGTTTACGGCCATGATGGGTGTTTACGGTCGTGAACTGGTTCACGGCCGTGAACCCATTCACGACACATGTGACATATATATAAGTGTTAGTGGTGAGGTCATAAGGGGTGAGAAGAGTTCACGGCTAAGAGAGAGAAGAGAGATGGAAAGGAGCTTAAGTGTGTGTTAGTGTGTGTGAAGCTCTATGTAAAGGAGATCATTCTCTTATCAATACATTGGGATTCATATTATTATTCTACTCCTTCTTCTTTATTTTGATCTAGCATCATCCAATTGATTGGGATTCCGCACCATCAATTAGATCTGATTGATACACAAGCAGATTTGGGACTTACAGTAACGATACGAAGGTACTGATAGATAATGTAATTATCTGGCGAGAGATTTAAGGAGTTTGTAGGTTGCAAGAATATTGATGTAAAACATGTTTATGCTTATGTTTTGTATCATTTATGACATCTCTAGTTTTAATAATCAATGAAAAACATTTCTCTTTGGAAATACATTTTATGGGACAAATTATGCATTTATAAAGATCACTTTGATTTAAAATAAGCATAAAGAAAAAGTTTTACAATTGGCAGTGGGGGATGTCACAGTTCATGCGCTCCAATACATATGCTTCTCTCTTTACTTTGACTACAAATTGTCATTCATCTCTCGCTGGTCTCGGAGAATTGAACGTTACTCCTACTCTTTACATCCACATTTAGGAATTCTCATGACATAACATCACAATCGTTTCTCCTTTGTGTCTCTCTTGTGTCGCAACATTAATGAACGACTAATATTGATGTATAATATGTGTATCTATATGACGTATATATGTTTTAGGTTTGAGGCATATAATGCGATTGGGAAGCAAGAACGTTTAACTAAGGTTATTACCCACTTACTTCTCATGTTCCCACAAGAACGATCGAGTGAGGGAATGAAAGAGATTGCACAACTGTTGCAAACTGATATGACGATGCATGATCTCCGGTGATTGTGTTTAACATAATCCGACAACAAACAAGTTAACAAAAAGTGTGGTATTTTTTGAACGTTTTGGAAACTTCGTTACGCTTTTAAGTCATTTTTCCATTTACCTGAAGTAACCGGTTACCACAAGGTTTTATTTGAACATATGTGTACTTCGTTGGGATTCTATGTACAAATAATATACTTTAATGATATTTTTTGTACTAAAAAAACAACAATGACATTTTTAAATATGACAAAATTTCAAAAATGGTCCCTGTGATTTTCGAAAATATCAAGTTTAGTCCCTAAGTTCAAAAAACCTCACAGATGGTCCCTGTGGTTTCAAAACTTTTAACAAATGATCCTTTTCGTTAACTCCATTAGCTTTTGGCCGTTAAGTGGAGGGTATTTATGTCATTTCACTGCCACAGGGACCATTTATGAAGATTTGCCTTATTTTTTTTATAAAAAAAAAGAAAAAAATATAATTATTTAATATTAAAGGGTCCCACACACACACACTCACTCACTCTCTTTCTCTCTCTCTCTCTCTCTCTCCCTCTCTCTCGTCTTCTTCTTAACCCTTTTGAATAATACAGTCAAATGAACAAATTTACTCCCTCCTTCTTTACTTTAATCTCCTCCACCAAAACCCAAACCCAAACCAACAACATTACTTTAATCTCATCCCCCCTTCTTCACTTCATCATGTTTAGTTCAAGAAGCATGGAAATTCAACAATGAAAAGAAACCCCTGATAACCCATTTCTTGTTCATAGTCTATGATCATTAAAACATCTAATTACAGTCATACAACTCCTGCTGATGGTAAATTATGTTTTAATTACAGATTACAGTAAACCCTAACATCAACAAAATCACGAAAATCAGTAGTGAAAGTAAGACCCTAACAATCAAATTGGTTAATCAAAACCAAAAAAAGATATCAAAGAACCCAAACAAGCAATTCGTTTACTGCTTCGGTATCTCATCATCTGCCGCCAACCAGCAAGAATCACAATCCCAAATATAGTCCCCATCAGTATTCCTGAAATCAACCCCATTTTGTATCAACTTCAACTCTCCAAAAACAGAACTACAATTAACAAAACATCTAACCAGCTACAGGTTCAAGCCATAGGGTCGACACTCTCTTTATTTCTAACCAAACCTACCGGTGGCTTTACTTCTCCTTTATCCCTCTGTCCTTGATGTCCCGCCATAAAAACTGACCAGGAAAGATCTTCTGAATTAGCGTTCCTTTGTAGTAACCGGAGACACCAGTGCACATGGATTTGAAATTGGAAACAATAACGGGGAAGAGGTTGTTGTAGAGGCTGAGGATGATGTGGCCAACGGGTTCGGTATCACGACAGAGGGCAAGATCTGATCCTAGAGTTCGGGTTTGGAAGTAGCTAGGGCAGATACGAAGTCAATGAATACGTAGTGAGTAATAATGGTGTCAAGTTATTTTTGTGGTGGTGAGGTTATGGAGAGGGATGGGAGGAGAGAGCGTGGTAGTGGTGGAAAGGAAGAGAAGAAAGCGACAGTGGAGGTGGAGTTTGGAGAGAGGGGCCGAAGGAGGATGATAAGGAGATCGAGGTGGTTGTGGTTGAGCACCCAATGGTGACGATGTATTTACTGAGTGTGTGTGTGTGTGTGTGTGAGAGAGAGAGAGAGAGAGAGAGAGTGAGTGAGTGTGTGTGTGGGGGGACCCTTTAATATTAAATAATTATATTTTTTTCATTTTTTATATAAAAAATAAGGCAAATCTTCATAAGGTATGCTGTGGCAGTGAAATGACATAAATATCCTCCACTTAACGGCCAAAAGCTAACGGAGTTAACGAAAATGACCATTTGTTAAAAGTTTTGAAACCACAGAGACCATCTGTGAGGTTTTTTGAACTTAGAGACTAAACTTGATATTTTCGAAAACCACATAGACCACTTTTAAAGTTTTGTCTTTAAATATTTTGAAAACGAATAACCTAATGCTATCTACCATAACCGATTCAATCGTATTTTGTGTTGTAAAACTTCCTTACCTTTTTCCCTTCGGTCTTTTTACCATCACATGACATTCTCCTATATGATAACTGATAACATATACATAGATGTTTTAGGCATATAACGACGTCGTCCTGGTCAGCCACAAAAATCCTTCCCACAGTTTCCTCATTTATTTATCCAATAATCCATTTCCGATAACCACACCACCACCAAAAGTACAAACCATCCACCGCCGCCCAAGACCAGTCGTAAATGGCGATTTCCTCCGCCGCACCAACTCTCACCTTACCCTACACACCATCCATCATAAATCGCACTTCACCATCAACAAAAACCTTATCCTTTTCGTCTTCCAATTCATCTTTCTTCACCAACACCCTCAAACCCTTGACCATCGCCCATGGAAACAGATCCAATCTGCTCAATGGAAAGAAAAAGGGTTTATCTTGTACCTGCTTGTTCGGACTTGGTGTGCCGGAGCTTGTGGTTATTGCTGGCGTCGTCGCCCTCGTTTTCGGTCCCAAAAAGCTGCCGGAGGTTGGCCGCAGTATTGGGAAAACGGTCAAGAGCTTCCAACAGGTCTCTTTACTCTTTCATCGACTTTTACATATCTATTGATTAATATCGACTGCTTATTTGAACTACAATTTCATGTCATATTCCAAATAATTGACACTCACGAAACACTGAATAGAATTTGATGATGAATAATTGACATATAATTGAATCAAATCAGATCATACGATTGTGCTCATCAGATGGAAACCACTTTATTCAAAGGTCTTATTGTGTTTCATTATCTGAATTAAAGCAATCTGATTGCATACAGACAATTCCTTAATAGAGAAGCCAAAGTGTTCCTCATTTATTTTTTCTTCTATTTCCCAAAGTGTGATTTCATTTTCTCAAAATTTTAAACTGTCATTTATCCACATAGAACACCACGTTATGAAAATAAAAAAATAAAAAAATAAAGACATAAAAAATAAAAAAAAATTATGGTTAAATGCAAGAAATAGCAGTGTACTTTCATTTATTTGTTTGGTGTACAATCCTACTTTCATTTCATTGAAAAAATCTACCCAATTATAGCAATGTCATCCAATTAAAAAGCAATTTTCACTGCTATAATTAGGTAGGATTTTCATAGTAAAATGCCATAATATTTTTCTTTTTGAAACCAAAATTTTTTAATTCGTATATATGTTAAAGTACAATGTTTTGATAACAAAAAAAAAAAAAAAATGAAAGTAAGAAATGAAACTATGATTAACAAATAATGAAAGTATGTTGCTATTTCTTGTATCTTTCCCTAATTTTAATAACAGTCTTTTCAACTTCTTTCCTTTTGCAACTTACTTAGAGAAGAAGAGAAAGTGCGCGATATTAATTTTTTTACAATATTGACATTTCTTAAATTTCCGCTTTCGGAAAGGGCCTGCCTTTTATTTGTGCTCAAAGTTTATGTTAGTGCTATTTATATGAATGCATTTTTGAACGTCACTCGGTTGTAGTTTTTTTTATCATCAAAATCAAAGTCTTTAGCTTGGAATGATATACAACCGACCCCTAATACAAGAAGAACGACTTAATACCAAAAGTCAGATAAATAAGGCTTTCCCCATTAAGTCATAACTCATTTTCTCACATGTGATATCATTATTTCAAACAAGTTCTAAAAATCATTTATGACAAAATTTAATTTGATTAAATTTGTGCAGGCGGCAAAAGAATTTGAAACGGAGTTGAAAAATGAACCCGAGTCACTAGGAGAGTCTTCGGATGTAAGTGTAGTCAATAAGCAAGAACCCGAAGACTCTAAAGTGCCAAGCACTAAGGAGAGTTTGTAGAGAAAGAGAGAGAGTAATGAGTGCTCCATGTTGTTCATGTAACACGTTTTAGGAAATGTTTGATAGTTATAAATTGCATTTATTTTATGTTGAATGAATTTCATTCATGGTGGT